TTATAATGGATTGGTGAAGGCTTTCCATGTATAACAAATAAAGAAAAAGAGGGAGGGGACAAGAAGGGAGGAGAAGAAATGCAAAAGCCAAAAAGAAAGTGTTGCCCTGGCCGATTTGGCTCAGCAGCTAGAGTGTCAGGCAGTGGACCAGAGAGTCCTGGGTTTGGTTCCCACTAAGGGCACGTACCTCAGTTGCAGTTTGTCTCTGGCCCCAGTTGGGGTCGTATGGGTGGCAACCACTTGATGTGTTTCTCTCACATGGAGGTTTCTCTCTCTTCCTTCCTTCCTTCCTCCCTCCCGCTCTATCTGAAGATAAAAGCAAAAACGTCCTTGGGTGCGAATAAAAAAAAAGGAAGTGTCAAAACTTATCTAGCCCTGGCCAGGTAGGTCAGTTGATTAGAGCAATGTCCAGCTATGCCAAAGTTGCGGGTCCAATCCCAAGTCAGGACACATATAAGATTCAACCAATGAATCATAACTAAGTGGAACAACAAATTGATGTTTCCTTCTCTCTCTCTCTCTCTCTTCCCCTCCCCTTCTCTCTCTAAAAATAAATAAAGAAAAATTAAAAAAACTTATCTACATAAAAATTAAAACCTTTATTTAAAAAAAATAGGTTTCTACTGATATTTTAGAGAGAGGGGAAGAGAGAGAGAGAAACTCAAATTAAAACAAAAAATATCACTTTAATCTCTATGGTTAGCAAAGACTAAAAATACAGACAGAATCCTTCATATTGCAAGACCCACTCACACACTGCTGGCAACAATACAAATTGGTATAGAAAATTATTTTATTACAATTTAAAATCTGCATTTATGTTGGTCCAACGATTTCAATTCAAGATGTCCATCTTATAGAAATACTTGCCTGAATGCCCAAAGCTGTACTTGAGAAATTTTCAACAATAAACAATATTTATTATTTAGCATTGTTTGTAAAACATTGGCAATTGCCAAAATGTTTATCATTAGGGCAATGGTTAAATTATAGTGCCTGCATCCTACATACTATGAGGTTGTCAAAAATATAGATTTTTTTTTATTCGAACATGATGACAATAAATTAAGTGAAAATGGCGAGGAAACAGCATGTATATGATCACATTTCTTTACAAAAAAAGATCACATAATTATTGTTCATCTTTTTCTATTTTACGTAAATAAGAATACTTCTTAGAAGTGTTACACTTCTATTACCGAAAAACCAGAATTTCATTAGGACATATTTTCAGTATCACTGGGATAATTTTCTATAAAGGAAAAATTGTCAGAGTATATGTAATGATTATTTTAATTTTTAAAAATTAAAAATCATGTAATGTAAGTACTACATTCAAATGAGTTAAATATTCCAAAGTCACAAAAGGTTATTAGGTGAAATGTCTCCCTCTTATCTGCCTCTCCCTGATGCCCAGCTCTCCACACAGGGAACCACATTACCAGTTTTGGGCTAACCTTCTGAAATATTCTATGCACATACAAGCAAATAAGTACATAGTTTTCCTTTTTTAAAATGTGGTATGACCATTTTCTTTATTCTTTTTTTATCCTCACCAGAGGACATTTTCCCATTTTTTGTTCAGATAGAGTGGGAGGGAGAGAAAGGAAAAGAAAGAGAGAGAGAAACATCGACGTGAAAGGGACACGTCGAGTGCCTGCCACCCACACAACCCAACCAGGGCTGGAGATAAACTGCAACCGAGGTACGCACCCTTAGCGGGAACCGAACCCGGGTCTCTCTGAACCGTAGGCCAACGCGCTAACCACCGAGCAAAACTGGCCAGGGCCATTATCTATATTCTTAATAAAAAATTAAAGTCAGTGAGCTTGCAAATTTTAAAAATATTTTCAATATCTTATTTCATAGCTTTATGTTGGTGATCTCAGAAAGGTATCTTCATATTTGCATCACACTTCCATCTTTCTAAAAGTTGTGGGAATTTTAGTTGGGTTCTTCAGGCATAAAGAAACATTAAATATGGTTATATTTAAGAAACACCAGACATGGTAATATTTATTGTGGAAATTCTTCAAGTGTTTTGCTATACTGATGCTTATGTCATACGCTTAACCAGTGTTCACAAACGTACAGTTTACAGCAGAGTAGGGACTTGAGAACTACAATGCCTACGTAATACATGAACAGGTATGTAGTTGTTTGTATACTCTTCTCTTTATTGTTCATGCTTTCACAACTGCTGGTCTCTCAGCCTGGGATATTTATTTAGCTTGTGCAAAGCTTCCCTACTGAGTATTTCAATATACTCTTTTATACTGACATTTACACATAACTCCTCCTTTTTTATGCGGTGAACTCCTTAAACCGTGACTTGCCTGATTTTTATATTATCAAGACCTAGTGCCCTTCCAGGCAGAATTACACTTTTCAGCCCTGGCCAGTTTGGCTCAGCGGTGAGAGCGTTGACCTGCGGTCTGGAGAGACCCGGGTTCAGTTCCCGCTAAGGGCGCGTACCTCGGTTGCAGTTTGTCCCCCGCCCTGATTGGGTAGTGTGGGTGGCGACCACTCGATGTGTCCCTTTCACGTCGATGTTTCTCTCTCTCTCTCTCCCCCCCTCCCACTCTATCTGAACAAAACATCAAAAAATGTCCTCGGGTGAGGTTTAAAAAAAAAAAGTTACTTTTCAGTAACTGCTGGTCAGAAGTTAAACAACAAAACAAAACAAAACTGTGCACCAGAGATTACATTTGAGAAGGTAACATCTAAGTTCAGGAAAATTAAGTGTTCATTAGCCAGACTAAAACACAGAAAAGTAAAAAAGTGCATTTGGGAAACTGCAAATAGTTCAGTGCAACTTACGTGCACAATTTATTTTTGACGTGCACAATTTAAATAAAAGAAATACAGCTGGCCCTGGCCAGTTTGGCTCAGTGGTTGGAGCATCAGCCTACGGTCCAGAGAGACCCAGGTTCAGTTCCTGCTAAGGGCACATCCCCGGTCCTGGTTGGATGGTGCAGGAGGCAGCCACTTGATGTGTCCCTTTCACGTCGACGTTTCTCTCTCTCTCTCTTCCTCTCTCTCCCTCCCACTCTATCTGAACAAAAACTGGAAAAAATGTCCTCGGGTGAGGATAAGAAAGAAAAGAAAGAAAAGAAAGAAAGAAAGACAGACAGACAGCTGAAGCCCTGGCTAGTTTGGCTCAGCGGTTAGCACATTGGCCCATGGACCAATGAGTTTCAGGTTCGATTTCCGTCAAGGGCACATGGTTCATCCCCGGCCCTGGTCAGGGTCCTGCGGGAGGCAGCCAGTCCATGTGTCTCACATCAATGTTTTCCTCTATCACCCCCTCCCACTCTATCTGAAGATAAACAGAAAAATATCCTCAGGTGAGGATTAAAAATAAAAAATAAATAGGAAACACAGCTGAAGACACACATGGGGATGCTTCCAGGGTAAAGTTCAGAATCCTTAGTTTAGCAATATATACCAAGAGGTGTACTCCAACTGGCTCTGAATCCTCCTCACCTCCAGCCACTCTAGCTCCCTTAGGTCTGGCTATATCCAATTACTTGCAATTTCCTAAAAACAACATATTCTTCCACACCTTAAAAAAGTACCCTTGTGCCCTGGCCAGTTTGGCTCAGCGGTTAGAGCGCCGGCCTGTGGTCCGGAGAGACCCGGGTTCGGTTCCCACTAAGGGCATGCACCTCGGTTGCAGTGGTTGCAGTTTGTCCCCTGCCCTGGTTAGGTCGTGTGGGTGGCAACCACTTGATGTGTCCCTTTCACGTGGATGTTTCTCTCTCTCTCTCTCCCTCCCACTCCATCTGAACAAAATATCAAAAAATGTCCTGGGTGAGGACTAAAAAAAAAAAAAAAGTACCCTTGTATTTTTCTCATTTGTTGCAAACCTCTTCTCCCTTCTTCAACTCAGCTCAACTGCCACTTTCCCAGAGAAGCGTTCCCAGTTCCATCAGATTAGAATATAGAAGCCTCTATATTGCTGACCTCTATCTTGTGGTTATAGTTTGTTGATTTGATTGGCTCCCTACTAAAATCTGAGTATGTGAACCTGTTTGTTTTTTTCAAACTTTCAATTTCAGCTTCCTTGGAGATCTATAGCTCTCTTAAGTTTGTTGTGTTAATAAATAAGGAAAACATCCTCCTTTTCCCAATGTGCCAACCTCCCAACATTTGAAAGCCTGGAGACTCACTTTGCAAACTGTAGATCCAAGTTCACAGACTGGAGAGTACTTTAAAAAAAATCAAATAAAACAATCTGTTAGTTACTCTTGGTGCTACTCTGTGTCCCCGGCTAGCCAAACCGGGTGAATGCCCGGCCAGAAAAGAGTTCACGGCCCTCAGTTGGCCCAAAGGCATTGCGAACGTTTCCCTGGGCCCAATGTAGAGGGAACAGCAAGGCCCAAGGCAGAAACGTGTGTATAGGAGTCTGGACTTAAAAAGAGTTCTTCCAACTTCACAGTTTGAATTACGAGGACAGGCGCTGATCGTGAAAAGGAGCAAGATCCAAGGCCTGTGAGATTGTTCTGGGGCCCAGGCCCATCTTGCTCAGCATTTCCTGCCCAGTGGTTCCCCGAACCTCAGCGCTAAAGAACTATCAAAAGTGGCAAATGGGGCGTCAGCGGGGTGGAGGTGCTGCAGGGCTTTGTTCTGCGAGTTGCCCGGTCTGCACACAGCGCCGTCCCGTCCCGGAGCCCTCCCGGTCCTCGCAGGCGGCGGCGGCTCGGCGGCCTCCTCACCAATTTGGGAACTCAAGTTCGCTCAGCATGGCAACGCTCCTGGGTAACTCCCGCTCCCGCTTGACACTCCGGTCCTCCGGGACCGACCCGCAGGAAGAAAGGGCTCCAGAAAGTTCCAGGAGCGCCAGGACCCAGGCTTAGACCCACCCCCACAAGGCCGATCGGCACAGCCCACTTCAACCCGAGCTCCCTCGCACCGTTGCCCGGGTAACCGCAGGGCGGTGGCAACGGCGGGAGGGGCGGGACTTCCTGCGGGTGACGCGTCTGGGCTCGGCTACAAAAGACGGCGGCTGCGGCTCGCCGGGCGGAACTTTCCAGAACACTCGGTAAGAGGTGGAGGAGCGGCGGCTTTCCGAGCTGCGCGCAGTAACGCGCCCTTTGCAGCTCCTCCACACCTGTCTCGGCCCGCTCACCGGTGAGTGCCAGCCCTCACGCCTCCCCTCGGCCCAAGGCCGGCGCCATTGGCTCGCTGGGGAGCTGGATGGAGCCGCTGTCGGAGGCGGTTGGCTCCGCGTGGGTGGGAGGGTTATCGGTTCTAGGATCCACGGTTCCCTTTTGGGGGTGTGTGGGGGGTGCCCCGGCAAGCCATCCCCGGCATGTAGTGAGTGGGTCCGAGACCTTTCACAGAGCTTCCCCTTCTCCCCATCTGGCCTGAAGGCTCCAAGGATCTGCAGCCTGAGGCTTTTCTCCGTGTGCGCCCTCTTCCCTCGCGTTCCCTCGAGGGTGGGCGACCCGCGCGCACGCGCAGAAAGAGCTCAGGGTGAGGGGCTGCGGGAGGAGCGGGGCGGAGGCCACGGTTTCGCTTCTCCGGGCTCCCCTCCTCTTTGTTGCGGGCTGGGCTTCTCCCACTCCTTCTGTCCATGGTGGGGGCGGGGGGAAGGAAGGAAACCTTAACGATCAGCGCCAAGTGCAGGGGGAAACCTAACGACGTGTAAGCTACGCTGGCTTGGCGGGGAGAGGGGTTCGGCGGCGGTCTGTGTGGAGACGTAAGTCCTGTAATTGAGAAACATACTTAGGACTGTTTTTAAATCACTTTCGTAAACCACTCCCTGTCCTCTTTGTACCCAAATGTGTTTTTTTCTAGGGAGAGTATGTCTTCCCGGATTTACCAATGACAATGTAACAACCAGGACTGAATCAGTTCGTGCTCCTTTTGATTACCTGTCCCTGCTGGGGAAGGGAAACAGGAAGAATCTCGATAATAGTGGCAGTTAGTATGGAGGCTTTCCTGTAGGAGAATGGGAACCAGCTGCTATAGGAGGCTTTTGAGTTATTCCCTGATAATTATTATCTTATATTTAATCTGTTAGAATCTATTACTGGATTATCAAAGGAATCATTACCTTCTCTGAAGTTTAGGGGAGGCAGGGTTCTTATAATCAGATTTCCCTCCCCACTCCCAATTTGTCTGACTTAAACTAATTATAATTACCAGTTGAAAGCCGGTTAAATTGCATTTTTTTTTATTTCAGGCTGTCAAAAATGGTGAAAGAAACCACTTACTATGATGTTTTGGGGGTCAAACCCAATGCCACCCAGGAAGAATTGAAAAAGGCTTACAGGAAGCTGGCCTTGAAGTACCACCCTGATAAGAATCCAAATGAAGGAGAGAAGGCAAGTTCAAACAGCTTGAATAGTATCTTACCAGGTGTATGGTTGTTTAATTACAACCTGAAATTGGGTATGTCTAATACAGTGTCTGTGGTTTGTAATAATTTTTTAAAAAGTGAGATTTATTCTTTTCTCAAACAGTTTAAACAGATTTCTCAAGCTTACGAAGTGCTCTCTGATGCAAAGAAAAGGGAATTATATGACAAAGGAGGAGAACAAGCAATTAAAGAAGGTGGAGCAGGTGGTGGTTTTGGCTCCCCTATGGACATCTTTGATATGTTTTTTGGAGGAGGAGGAAGGATGCAGAGAGAAAGAAGAGGTAAGAATAATTAGTCCACATGCAACAATTCAGAGTAGCCCCTTGGTCAAAGCAAATTCTTGAGAATCAACCTATTTTAAATGTTGGCTTACATGTTGGTATAATTTTGCAAACTGTAAACTGCCACTTTGATTTATGGTATAGTTTTTTTAAGATGAGGTTTGATGTAACTAAAATTAAAGCAATCAAGTGCTAACAAGTGAATGCTTCTAAAGCTCCTGGAGTAGGACACAAACTTCAATAAGGTTGTCAAGCATTAATTAAAGGAACTAAGTATAGGAACATAATTTTCAAAGCTCTTTCTACAGATCTTATTTGACACCCCTCCCCCAACCCAGTGGGAGGTACTTAGTTGAAAGTGAGTTAAAGTTCAGAAACCTTAACTTTCCTCCAGGTAATACAGCAAGGCATCAGTAATCAGGATTGTAACATAGATTCATTGCTTCCAAATAGGTATGTTTAATTTTGCTTCAGCTTTATTACAACAAAATATGTGCCCTTATTATTTATCAGAAATGTCATTTCCTGGTTATAGAAATATTCTTCACAGGAAAGCCATGTTCAGGTCAGAGTCAATCTCACTTGTTTCCCAGATAGTTTACACAAATAAGGGCCAATGGGTAGGGTCCATTTTAGAAGGAATAGGGAAGGCATTGAACATTTTTAAATTCAGAAAGACTGGAAATTGTTTCCTCAGCTTTTCCTAAAAGGAAAGGTGTATGTTTTTATTTAAAGAAATTTACCTTAAAATGGTTTGCAATCAAAAGCAATTGTTTAGGATGGTTTGTTCCGAAGAAAAGTAGTAGTGTTGTTTTGTTTTGTTTTTTTAGAAAGAGTTGAGGGGAGAGAGAGAGAGAAACATCGGTGTGAGAGAGACAGACACATCGGTTGGTTGCCTCCTGCATGCCTAACGGGCTATGGATTGAACCTGCAATCCAGGTATGTGCCCTTGACTGGGAATCAAACCTGAGACCCTTCAATCTGAGGACTGATGCTCTAACTGCTAAGCCAAACTGGCCAGGGCTTAATTATTTTTTCAGTAATTAATTAACTGGCAAACTTTTCTGTGTGATTTAGATCAATAAAAGGTCTGTATGTGGGATACCAGAAAATACTTGCTTAACCAAACTTAAGAAGCTTTTTTGTCTTGTCTTTATACTCTCGAATCTATAAAGCTAAAGTAAGAAGGCAGCTTTCAGCGTGCTGGAACCAACTGCATGGGACTACATCTGTGATATAGAACTCAAAGGTGGAGCTAGGAAAAGGATATAGTTAATGGTAACTTCATACTTCATTGGAAACTAAAAATATTCACAACAGGTGTATTGTACAGATAAGAGTGAGAATTATTTCACTTGGGCATAAGGCAACACTGTTTTATGGTGAATAAAGTCCTTGTGAAGAATCACTAGCTAGGAACTTATTAACCATTGGCCGGTGACTTCATTTCTGTAGCCTCAGTGTCCTCATATGATCCCCAGCTTCCATGTTCCATTCAGAAATGAGATGTGGCACTCCTTTGTAGCTACTGGCCGCAATAAATTTAGATTCAAAACAAAGACCAAAATTCAGTTCTTCATCTGCAATAGTCACATTTATGTACTCAAAAACCACGTGTGACTTGTGGTTATTGTGTTGGATAACACGAACATAAAACATTTCTATCACTGCAGAAAGTTTTTTTGGACAACACTATGATAAAGGATATGAGAAATCTAGTCTTCAAAATAAAACTAGTGCTGGCCAAGCATTAAATGTGTGCTATTCCTACTTCAGGTAGAAGTAGGAATTGGTATTCTATGGAGACTGAATAAATATATCAACTTCCCTGGTTAATCTTGATTGATTGTAACTTGGAACTTAGTGTACTGAAGAATGTTCAGATGAAGTAATGGGTCATGTTGCTCAATATCTTAGTAAGTGAAAGATTCAAAGAATATATTTGAACGGAAATGCACTTTGGAGTAATTCTTGTGAAATGTGCCTCTATGTAAATGGCATTGGTTCTCTCAAGTGATTTTGCAGTTAATGTTTTTGATTGCCAAATTCGTAAGATTGCCACAAATACATTCCTAGACAAATTACTCAATCTCACCCAATTTTTCTCATCGGAAACTACATTACAGTTTGAGGATCATGTGGCCAGTATTCTGTGTATAGAACAGGTACTCAACAGATGTACCCTGTGAGCCTCATCTTTCATTATTCTTTACTGTTTCTATGGTGCATTGAATACAAATAAGATAGATCTTAGATTTTTAATGAGCAATGTTTTGTTCTAGGTAAAAATGTTGTGCATCAGCTCTCAGTAACCTTAGAAGATTTATATAATGGTGCAACAAGAAAACTAGCTCTGCAAAAGAATGTGATTTGTGACAAATGTGAAGGTATGGTCTTTCAACATCTTAAATATACCTGAAAGTGGAACTGAAACCTTTCTGGAGATATGAAACTGATAAATGGTACACTGCCTAAGTATAAGAGTGCAAGTATAAAGAAAACCACCTAAACGTACCATCTAGAGAAATATTAGCAAAGTGTCAGCACTTTTTTTTTTTGTTTTTGAATGTTCACCTGAGGGTCTTTTTACATTTATTTTCAGAGAGAATAGAAGGGAGAGAGAGCGAGAGAGAGCGAGAGAGAGAAACATCAATGCAAAAGAGACATTGACTGGTTGCCTCCCACACAACCCCGACCAGGGCCAGGGGACCCAACCACAACTGAAGGACGTGCCTTTGACTGGAATTGAACCTGTGACTATGATCCACAGGCCAATGCTCCAACTGCTGAGCCAAACTGGCCAGAGCTCAGCACTTTTTTTTTATTCCTCGCCTGAGGATATTTTTCTATTTATCAGATAGAGTGGGAGGAAGGGAGAGAGGGACACAGAGAAACATCAACATATAGCCACATCCACTGGTTGCCTCCTGCATGACCCGCCCCCCAGTGCCGAGGACAAAGGCAACTGAGGTACATGCCCTTGACTGGAATCAAACCCACGACTCATTGGTCTGCGGGCCAACTCTCTAACTGCTGAGCCAGATCGGCCAGGGCATCTCAGCACTTTTTTATGTGTATATTTTAAATGCTGTTGGAATCAATCCAAGTTACTGTCCTTTTTCTCAACGTTGTTCAAATGAGCATTTCATATTATCTCTAAAACATAATCATTCCAATGGCTTCATAATCTAGTATGATTTAAACAGTGTCCTCTTTTTGGACATTCACCTGTTTCACATAGAGACAAGTTACTGGCTATGAACCTGTAAGCTTTTTATAAGTACAAGTTATTTGTTGGAAATATGGTATCTTCTAAAGAGAATAAACTCCTTAATGTTCTCGTTTCACAGATAAAGTATGTCATGACTTGTGATTTAAAATTCACAGTTTTCATGTTTAAAATTGTAAATTTTAAAATGATTCCTTGGGAAAATAGTAGTCATTGTTAATATGTTTATAGATAACTAAAGCTGACTGCAGCTGTATTTTTTTTTAATCAAATTAAAAGGCTGAATTATAGTTGTTAAGGGCAGCATTTCATCACACCTTGTAAATGTTGATAAAATGCAGTGTTTAGGAACTGTCTTATTAAAACATTCATTACTGTGTCGGACACTAAGTTCAAACTTGATTTTTTTATACTGTTTAGGCCGAGGTGGAAAGAAAGGAGCAGTAGAGTGCTGTCCCAATTGCCGAGGTACTGGAATGCAAATAAGAATTCATCAGATAGGACCGGGAATGGTTCAGCAAATTCAGTCTGTGTGCATGGAGTGCCAGGGCCATGGGGAACGGATCAGTCCTAAAGACAGATGTAAAAGCTGCAATGGAAGGAAGATAGTTCGAGAGAAGAAGATTCTAGAAGTTCATATTGATAAAGGTAAGTTCTCAGTCACTTCTGAATTCTTGAGTGCTACGGCAAGAATATTTACATTTTATAGTTGTTAAAAATGATTCTCAATAGGGTTATATGTATGATAAGGTCTTATCACCCAGATATATCTTAGCTACAAACTGAAAATTTTTTTTCCATCTGGATATTTTTTGCACATTTGTAGGGAATACATTAGGACTCTCCTCTTAATATAACAGTAATATCAGTAAATGATTGTGTTCTAAACCTAATTCTCTTCCATTAAATTACTAGTTCTTCCTCTTTTTAAATTGTAATTAACTTTTGTACTTTCCTTAGGAACTGCTAGGTTAAGGGATATGTGTACTTTCAAGGACTTGGCAGGAAGGGATTTAGGTGAATTGGGAGCTCTTGTTAAAATTAATATTTCTTGAAATTTTCCTAAACTAATGAAATGATTTATTTTTTAATTGATTTGTAAGAACTTAGATTAAGAATACTGCTTTTTTCGCCCTGGCCAGTTTGGCTCAGCAGTTAAAGCATCGGCCTGCGGTCCGGAGAGACCCGGGTTCGGTTCCCGCTAAGGGCACATACCTCGGTTGCAGTTTGTCCCCGACCCTGATTGGGTTGTGTGGGTGGCAGCCACTTGATGTGTCCCTTTCACGTCGATGTTTCTTTCTCTCTCTGTTCCTCTCTCTCCCTCCCACTCTACCTGAACAAAGAATGGAAAAATGTCCTCGGGTGAGGATGATAAAAAAAAAAAAAAAAGAAAAAAGAATATTGCTTTTTAAAAATGTTTCTCATGGACTAAACCTACCTGTCAGTTTCTGACTCTGGGGTTCTAGATTGTAACTCTAACTTTTTTTCATGTTATTTTGTTAATTCCTTGATGGGTAATTTATTTTTAAAAGTTTTCAAATTTATTACAGCAATACATATTTATTATAGAAATTTTTGAAATGTATATTAACTCCAGAGAAAATTAAAGTCTCTAATTTTGCTATTCTGAAATAATAAACATGGTAATCTTCAGACTTTGCGACTAGTATTATACTGAACGTAAATTTGGAACCACTAATATCATGAACATCTCATATTAATACATAGATCAACATTACTTAAGCCCTACAATAGTGCTTTCACATGTGAGTCATGATACTGCCCTCTCTCCATTTATCCCTCCCTTAATTGGCCCATGTTTAGTAGGGTTTGGGGGTTTTTTTTTGTTCCAGTAAGATGTCCCCCTTGTTATCAATAGCATTAATTTTGAGTAAAGCCATTTATTTTGCCCTTACCCATGCTCTCTATAGTAACAAAACAACCAGCAAAACAGCTGAGTTTGTTAAAAATAGTTTGCGAGACAATCACATTGCCTCATGATGATTAAAGCCAGAGTATGTTTAGTTTTGTCATTGTATAAATCTGGTACTGTGATTTGAGTTTTTATTTTTCTAGAGGTAAAGTATTTGTGGACTAATTTTTGTATGTCTGGGTTTTGCTTCAGCTGTTGGGAGGTGGACAAGGGTGGAGGAATACATGAAAATATTAGTCATGTGTTAGTAACTGTTGGGTCTAGATTGATGGAGATACAGAGATCCATTGTACTGGTTGTGTATGTATATTATATAGGTTTAACATTTTCCATAACAAAGTGAAATAAAGTTGCTCTTTTTTGAGTGACCTTGTTGATTAGTTTAGGAAATTATCAGGAGGTATGCTGCTGCAGTATAATCTGCAAACACATGACATAAGTTAAGTTTAAATTGATGGGCCAGAGATAGAAGAGAGGGATTCTCAGTAAAATATGTTGGCCTTTAAGAAATTTTTGCCTGTTGAAAAATACTTAAACTTTTGACAACACACAGGCTTAAAGGGAGTGTCGCATATTTATCCTTTTTTTTTTCTTAAAATTTTTTTTTCTTTATTGATTTGAGCGAGAGGAAGGGAGGAGAGAGAGACAGAAACATCGATGAGAGAGAACATCGATTGGCTGCCTCCTGCATGTCCCCCACTGGGGATTTGGCCCACAACCTGGGCATGTGCCCTGATGGGGAATCGAACCAGTAACCTCTTGGTGCATGGGTCAACGTTCAACCACTGAGCCATACCAGCTGGGCTATTATTTTTATTTTTTTATCCTCACCTGAGGACATTTTTCCATTTTTGTTCAGATAGAGTGGGAGGGAGGGAGAGGAAGAAAAAAAGAGAAATATCAAAATGAAAGGGACACATCGACCCCAACCAGGGCCAGGGATGAAATGCAACCAAGCCACATGCCCTTGACTGGAATCGAACCCGCATTGGTCTGCAGGCGATGCTCTAACCACTCAGCAAAACCGGGCAGGTCAAGGAGCTATCCTTTTTTTTTTTTTTAAGGGTGCTAAAGTAAATCATTCTTCAACAGAAAGACACAGATTTTTCAATTATTTAGTTTTTCTGTTTGTTTTTTTATCCTCACCCGAGGACATTTTTAGAGTGTGGGAGGGAGGGAGAGAGAGAGAGAAACATCGACGTGAAAGGGACACATCGAGTGGCTGCCACCCGCACGACCCAACCAGGGCCGGGGACAAACTGCAACCAAGGTACGCGCCCTTAGCAGGAACCAAACCTGGGTCTGTCTGGACCGCAGGCCGATGCTCTAACCGCTGAGCCAAACCGGCCAGGGCAATTATTTAGGTTTTATATATGGATTTCCAACAGGTAAATACTAATGCAATAGAAGAAAGTCTTGGTTTGTGTTACTGTTAGGCTTAATAAGAATAATTTTATATGGGTTCTTTTAAGTAAGTAATGAAATTGAAATAATGCCCTGGCAGGTTTGACTCAGCAGTTAGAGTATCTGCCCACAGACCGATGAGTCACGGGTTCGATTCTGGTCAAGGGCATGTACCTCAGTTGCGATTTGTCCTGCCCCTGGTTGGGGTTGCAGCGGGAGGCAGCCACTCGATATGTCCCTTTCACGTCGATGTCTACCCCCACCCTTCCCCCACCCACTCTATCTGAACAAAAGTGGAAAATGTCGGGTGAGGATGAAAAGAAAAGAGAAGAGAAGAAATTGAAATAGTTAACATTTATGGTTATAGTGTTTGCCAGTCAACTGATTTGTTGCCAGCATGGGCTTTTTTATTGAATTTTCACGACAGTCTCGATGAGGTAGGTCTCTGGGACAGTTGATGCTTAGGAAAGTTATGCAACTTGCTTCCCCTGGGATAATCCAGCTGGTAGTATATAGCAGCTCTGAGACTTGAGGCCTGATCTGTTTTCCTTTAGAGTTTACGTTCTCCACCGTGATAGCTTTCTTCAGTAAGAAATTGGACTGATCTAATCATGCCATTTTTAGTCATCTCTGTAAGCTATATAGCATCCACAAAAACTTGAACTTTTTTTAAGTGCACACACACGTTTATATGTGTTCCTTAATAGATTGAAAATCTAACCTTAGTTAGATGTTAATAAGAGTATAAAATTAGCCAGTGTGGCTCGGTGGATTGAGCATCATCCCATAGACTGAGATCCCAGTTCGATTTCCAGTCAGGGCACATGCCCGGTTATGGGCCAAATCCCCAGGGGAGGGCATACAGGAGACAACCAATCAGTGTTCTCTCTCATTGATGTTTCTATCTCTTCCTCTAAAAAATCAATAAAGAAAATTATTTTTTAAAGAAAAGAGTATAAAAACCTTTTGTTTTTAGGTATGAAAGATGGCCAGAAGATAACATTCCATGGTGAAGGAGACCAAGAACCAGGACTGGAGCCAGGAGATATTATCATTGTTCTAGATCAGAAGGACCATGTTGTTTTCACTCGGTAAAAATTTTAATCAACTACTCAAACTGGCATCTTGCATCTTGCATACTTGGAGTGTTTTCTAAAAATTTAAATGAGCTTTTCCTTAACTCTTAGAACATATTTCCTAGAAACACCCTGGAAAAATATAGTGGGAGGGTTAGGTTGTGTATAATTACCTTTTTTAAAGTGTTGTTAATCATTAATGTTTCCATCTGAAAAGAGGCTGAAAACAAAAAGGGATCAGATTTTTGCATTTTGTCTAAATTTAGGTAAATTGTTACCTAATCTGATGTTTTATAGTAAACAGGTGGATTAGGGGAAACCTGCCTAGACAAAATTTTGCCCTAAAGTTCTCACCGTTTTCAGCCCTGAGTTCATGCTATGTTCAATTGTTTTTTATTGTAAATAAGTGTCTAGAACCATCTCTATTAAAAACTATAAATTAAGGTCTATTGCTGCAAAATAGTTAATGAAATTTACCACGAACTAATAAGCACAAGAAAAATTGATGGTAACAGTGAATGTGTGTTAAATATATACCCATAGCTGACTTTAAAACTTTGGACTGGATTAGGGTTCTAATCTTATTGGGAATGATATCTGAAGGAACTGGTTTTAAATGAATTATAATAGAACATCCCCCAAGTGTCCCAACAATGGCAAATGCTGTCAAGCTCAGTATTTTAATGCTATCTATCATTTGAGGTAAATTCTCAGGAGTTTTTCTGGAAAGTATTCTGTTACTAATATGGATTGGAAAAGGAAGAAAGTCTAAACATGAAGAGGAAGATATCAGCTGTTATTAAATATAAAAGATTGTGTTTATAATGTGCCAAGCACTATATTACTTAATTTATGTACATCAATAAATTTTAGAGATCCCATAATTCAGGACCCTGCTGAAGTCTGTTCAACTTACACTTTAATGTCCTATCCTTTATGTATGTGTGTATGTTTGCTTTTTTCTTTTAACCTCACTGTTGTGAGAATATTTTCTTCTCTTTGTGAGAAACTAGATTTAAAATTAAGTGATGAAACAATTCAGGGATGATAGGTGGTGGAGACAACCTAGAGTGTGTGGAAGGATTCTGAAGCCTTGTCTAGGAAGTGGGGCTGACAGATTCCATATATTTGCTATTCCCAGTTCTCAGCTCTTTTTAAAATGGGGAAGAAAGGGCACCTTTGTGAAAGATATCTTGGTGTTGATAAGAAAACAGCATTGCCTGCTGTGGTACTTGTAATCATTGGTAATTTGAAAGCTCTATGTGGTATATTTATGTTAATGCAGACGAGGAGAAGACCTTTTCATGTGTATGGACATACAGCTGGTTGAAGCATTGTGTGGCTTCCAGAAGCCAATAGCTACTCTTGACAATCGGACCATAGTCATCACCTCTCATCCAGGTATGGTAATGATAGATGGGCTTCTCTTTCTGTTCTAGTAATTTATTTCCATAGTCTGCAGATAGGCACAAAGCAAGAAGGTATTTTACTTGCTCAGTTACATATCCTTATGAGCTGAGTTCAAATTGTATGGTCTTGGCTTTCTTTTGGAAGTCCATAGAAAATCTATACATAAAAAGTTAAAGGATCGCCCTAGCTGGTTTGTCTCAGCAGTTAGAGCGTCAGCCCGTGGACTGAAAGGTCATGGGTTTGATCCTGGTCAAGGGCATGTACCTGTTGCAGGTTCTATCCCCGGTCAGGGTGGTGCAGGAGACAACCAATTGATGTAACTCTCACATCGATGTTTTCCCTTCTCCCTCCCTCCCTCCTTTCATCCCCCTCTAAAAATCAATGGAAAAATATCCTTGGGTGAGGATTAACAACAACAAAAAACAAGAAAAGTAAAGGATTGCTTCACATAACTTCCTGTCAGTGTAGGACATTCCTCTATTCTTTATTTTCTCTACTTCATGAAAATGTAGCTGTATTTAAGAAAGAACTTGGGTTCAATGTTTCTAGGTCAGATTGTCAAGCATGGAGATATCAAGTGTGTGCTAAACGAAGGCATGCCAATTTATCGTAGACCATATGAAAAGGGTCGCCTAATCATCGAATTTAAGGTAAGCTATAAAGTACTCTAGGGATATTTGAGTGATTACTAAAATCCGATAACAGTTACATTTGCTGAATGTCAAGAAAAATCAAATTTATATTCTCCCCTGTTCAAGAGGAAATGCATTGATCTAATACTACTACTACTGTCATGTTGATCATTGTTAACAAGTTGGGATTGGTTTTGTTCACATCATTATTTGACTATTTAAAGATTGGTGGGGGGAGGGTTTGCAAGGCTATAACTGATCTTAAAGTTCAGCAGGAGGGCGTAAAATAACGGGATTTCTGGCAAAATACTACAATGGTTGGTTTGTTAATAGGGTGGTTCATGAAATGTGTTTTAGGAAGGGTTTTACTATAACATACTTGCTGACTAGAACAATGGTTATTACAGTGCAATTTTACTTGTGCCATATGCCTTAAACTCTAGAGCACTAGATGCTGTGCCTTTTTAGAACATGTGTTCTGCCCAGCCAGTGTGGCTCAGTGATTGAGCCTCACCCATGCACCAAGAGGTTGCCAGTTCGATTCCAGTTAGGGCACGTGCCCAGGTTGTGGGCCCAGTCTCCACTGGGGAGCATGCAGGAGGCAGCCAGTCATTGTCCTCTCTCATCGATGTTTCCATCTCGCTCTCTCTCTTCCTTCCTCTCTCTCTAAACAATAAAGAAAAAAAATTTTTTTTTAAAAAGTGTTGTAATCTGGGATTGGCAAATACACAGAAAAATTGTGTGGTTACGTGTTTTTCTGGGGGAAATGGGTTAACTAATTTAAGGAGCGAATGATGAAGTAAATCAAGTAGAACTTAACAGTTAAAATTTCTTTTTGTAGGTAAACTTTCCTGAGAATGGCTTTCTCTCTCCTGATAAACTCTCTTTGCTAGAAAAACTCTTACCTGAAAGGAAGGAAGTAGAAGAGACTGATGAAATGGACCAGGTAGAACTGGTGGACTTTGATCCGAATCAAGAAAGACGGCGCCATTACAATGGAGAAGCGTATGAGGATGATGAACATCATCCTAGGGGTGGTGTTCAGTGTCAGACCTCTTAATGGGGCCAGTGAATAACACTCACTCCTGGCATTTTATATACAGTAGTGAACGAGTGAAGGACTGTAATCATAGTATGCTCACTACTTGCTATTGTTTTTGTTTTAATATTCAACTATAGTAGTGTTTTAAAAGTTAAATGAAGAATAAACTCAAATATAAAAGCTCTGACTTTGCCCTGTATGTATGATGACTTAAGTGTGCAAGATAAGTTCAATACCTGTAAAAAGTGACTTAAAAAATTTTTCCCCTAGCATTTGTTAGGCTGTACTTTTTAATTGTCAGCTGTGTACCTGGAATAGCTTAGACTGAAATGCTAGGTATGTGTATTGACTTTGGTGTATGATTCTTAATTGTTAAGCTATGAAGTTAAAATTCTGTATTTAACTGGCAAAGGACTTAATTTGTAGAGAAGTGTTAGTTTGTATAGTTGTATTAAGTGGGATTCATTGTGATGTCTCTGCATTTATTCTATTGCTTCAACTGTTACTTGAAGATGGCATGCCATATAATTTAACCTGTGGTATCAGTGATAGAAAAGATACTTTTCTAAAGAAGAGGTTTATCATAATAAGCTGCTTCTTGAGGGCTTGCGCTTGTAGAATTGCATTCCCTTCTGCGATGCCATTTTTTTTTAAATATATATATAACCATATATCAATCCTTGGTTACATTTTTTTCCTTCTCTTTGGACCATAAGCCTTAGAGTAGTGGCTTCTGGAGCAGGCTAACTTAGAAGTTGAGTGATGAGACCTTTACCTGGAGAAGTAATTTGCATGTATGAAATAGGAAGGTGTTTTAGGTATGTTACAGGCTTACTTCAAACCATTTAACTTATGCTCCAAAGTAACTGTAATTTAATGTTGGTAGTGTAGCAAATTATGAATAGTTTTAATTGTATGTTTAAAAATCATATGTTCACAAGCTTAAATCTGGGTATCAGAATTTAAGCAATTGAAATGTATGAATTGGCTCCTTAATATACTGATTACAAAGCATTTCCAGTGTGTCACTACAGGCTTTTTTTACCCAGAAGAAAGCATTAGCTTTTTACTAATGGAGATCGGTAACTTTAACTGTATATAGTTAAATGTTTTCTTTTAAACGGGTGGAGAGTAAAAAGTATCAGTCATGAGGGAAATGCAAATCAAAATCAGAGAGCTACTAAACATCAAGTAATCAAAAATCTAATTCAAAATGAAAGCAAGTAAGAATGGAGAAGTTGGCACCCTGTACATTGCTGGTGGAAATGTAAAATGGTACACCTCTATGGAAAAGTTGGACAGGTCTTGAAAAAGCCAAACATGGAATTATGAGATGACCCAGTAATTACACTCCTTGACTCAGATACTTGGCATGGGAGTGTTTATTCTAGCTTTATTCACAGTAGCCAAAGGGAAAACATGTGTCCAACAGAGATGAGGTACATAGTATACAGGGGTTAGCAGAAGTGGGTTTACAGTTGTGAGTACTACACAAAACAGTTTTTTTTTATTTGTATTTTTCATGTGAACAACTAAACCTTTTCCCCACCCTACATACGACACACAAAAGGACAGATACTATATGCTTCTGGCTATGTGAAATATCTAGGCAGATTTAGAGAGATTACCAGGGGCCTAGGGGAGAAAGGAATAAAGAGTTCGAGTTTGCCCTGGCCAGTTTGGCTCAGCAATTGAGTGTCGATCTGCGGACCAGAGAGTCCTGGGTTCAGTTCCCGCTAGGGGCACGTACCACCAAAAAAAAAAAAAGTTTGAGCTTAATTGTTTCTGGAGCAGTGCAAAAGTTTTGGAAATTGTCCTGGCTGGTTTTGCTTAGTGGTTAGAGCATCGGCACACGAACCAATAAGTCACGTGTTCGATTCTGGTCAGAGCACATACCTCGCTTGCAGTTCGTCCTCAACCCTGGGCCTTGTAGGAGGCAACCAGTTGATGGATGTGTCCCTCTCACATAGATGTTTCTCCCTTTCCCTCTATCTGAAAAAAATATCCTTGAGTGAGGACTAAAAAATACATTAAAAAGTTTTGGAAATAGTGATGGTTGTAGTATAATGCTACTAAATGATTTAAAGTGGATGTTATTGCCCTGGCTGGTTTGGTTCAGTGGTTAGAGCATCGGCCTGCAGACCAAGGAGTCGCAGGTTCAATTCCGGCCAAGGGCACATACCTTGGTTGTGGTTCAGTCCCTCACCTTGGTGGGTATCATTCAGGGGGCCACCAATCAATGTGTCTCACTCACATCGATGTTTCTCTCCCACTCTATCTGAAGATAAATGGAAAAATATCCTCTGTTGAGGATTTAAAAATAACTAAATAAATTTTATTTTACATATCTTACCACAATAAGACAACTTTTAAGAGAAAGTAGAAATCACTAAAAGAAAATAGTTATAGCCTCCCTGGAGAAGCGGAAATGGAAAAGTCTGTAGTCTTTTTTAAAAAAATGCTTCTTGGCCCGGCCAATGTGCCTCAGTGGTTAAGCATCAACCCATGCACTAAGAGGTCGCCGGTTCCATTCCTTGGTCAGGGCACATGCCCAGGTTGTGGGCCAAATTCCCAGGGGGGGGCATGCAGGAGGCGGCCAATCAATGTTCTCTTTCATCAATGTTTTTATCCCCCGCTTTCCCTTTCTTTCTAAAATCAAAAAATTATTAAAGAATAATTTATTAGAACACTGACCACCGTAATCAGAAATAAAATTTATCCACGCAAATGAAGTTCCTGGCCCCAATACTATTGTATTTTCTGTGATGCTTACCCCCAGCCATTCACACATTGAGGGAGTAAGAATAGAGGCCATTTATGTCCCTTGAAGGTGCTGGGTAACATGGTGCCTGAACTTCTGTACGTGGAATTAACATCAGATCTTTTCTTCATAGGGCACTGGTTTTCAACCTTGGCTACAAGTGGAATTACCTGGGAAGCTATAAAATTGATTTGAGTTCTACCATTCAGGGATTCTGGTGTAACTGAGTTGGGGTGTAGCCGAAGCATCTGGATGGTTAGGTACAGCCATGTTTCAACACTACTAACATGGGGGCATTTGTATAAACCACTTAGGACAGAAATGCCACTTAAATTAATGTGGAAGTTGAGGTAATGGAAGCCCTTGCTATTTATTGCAAGTAAGAATTTGAAGCTCAGACCAAGAGAGTGTCCCAGTTTACACATACACTTCAAATTTTTCTTTCAAAATAGTGTGGGAAAATGAAGCATAAGCTCTAAAAGCAGAGAATGAAAAAGCTAGTAAGCTACAGCAGTACAAATACACTCAAGGGTTTCTGAGTCTTGTACCTTTATCACTTAATTTGTTTTCAGCAACCTTGTGAGACTGACAGAACGAGAATCGAAACTCAGTCAGCCCTCTATATTCTGAGGTTCTGCATCCACAATTCAAGAGACTGTACTGAAAATATCCAGGGGGAAAAAATCCCAGGATGTTCCAAATAGAAAACTTGAGTTTGCCACGAGAATGATGTGATGTGTAGGTATACCCTGCTGTAGTCTATGTGAAAATGTCATTGTATATAAGGGTCTTGGGCATATTCTGTATTTTGGTATCTGTCAGGGGTCTGAGAAGCAATTCCCTGCAGACACGGAGGGACAGCTGTACTTCATAGGTGAGGAAACAGCCCTCTCTAGTCTACTGGTTCTCAAATTTGTGTGTGCTTGCTGAGTGCCACTGTCAGTGTCTGATTCTGTAGGTCTAGGGTGGGACCTGAGATTTTGCTTTTTAATACAAGTTACCAAGTAACAAAACCATTGTTCTGGCCCAAGTAAAAATAAATCAATGATTCTCTCTCTCTCTCTCTCTCCCCCCCCCCCGTTTTTTTCGCACCCACAAATTTTTGGCGGCCTTGTTTCAGCAAGGCATAAAAAATAAACACATCAAATGACAGCAAAACTGGAATCCAGATTCTTGTTATTTAGTTCTTTCTACTCATCTCACTGCCTATGACCAATTTAAACAAGTTTTAACAGAATATGGAGAAACAATTCATAGATTCTTCACCTCTGCCCAAACCTAGAGAAGAAACTGACAGCAGTTTGATTCAAAGAGAGGAAAACTGAGCTTTGGCCATCACACCTGGTTTTCAGTATGAGCTTCGTGAACAAGGGGCAGAAACCTGTTTTTTCATGTGTTCTTCACAAAGTGGTTCTGAGAATTAAATAAGGATGTTTATGTAGGAAGGGCTCAATAACTACTGGTTATTAGTGCTAGTACTACAAGTTGAAAAAAATTTCAATCTGTCTGAAGAAGATACAGAAAGAAAAAAATAGTTGGGTGTTTTCCAGAGTTATTAATTCAACAACTGAGTGGAAGATAGGAACACAGGTCCTTTCTCTCGTGGGGTTAACCTTAATGCCAGGTATTTTAATTTGAAGATGTAAAGAGCAGTATCAGTGAACTCGGCGAGCTACAGCAGAGCGCCTCCCTAGGAACCTGACGCACTCCTTAGTTTCACAAGGGAGTACCCACTGATTATGGGCATCCAGCTCCCATTGGATCAGCTTTTGCTACTGGCACTGTGGTAAGAGAAACCAATAATACGATCTCCGACTGCTGATATGTAACGTAAATAGCAGCCCACTGGCGCAGTCCGACGCCCTCCAGCGCTGACGGCTGGTTCCAACGAGGGTGCAGGGAGCGCGGGCAGCTGGTAAGGGTCGCCGCTGGTGCTGCTCGGCCTGGTCCAGACGAGGGACCCCCGCCCTGGCGCACCAGGGACCTAGCGCATGCGCCGGCACTCCGCCGCCATTCCCTTCCCTGCCCAGAGAGCAGCAGTCCAGCAGATGTCGTGCGGTCTGCCCTTCTCACACCTGGGCCTCTGTCCCTGGGGCGCCCCCTGCCTTCCTTACTGGAGAGATGGTCACATGGGTCATAAGAAAATTTAAATGCACAGTAAGGGGAAGCGCGTGTTTACACTTTTGAATAAAAGTAACTGTTTTTCGGTTAGGACAGATGCCTTAAGGGTTACTGGGAAAAGTGGGAATTCATTTTCTTTTTCAGCTTTGCATTTACTTGTTTCTCTAAAGCATAACTTTACTAAAAAGGAAAAAATACATCCTTAATGGCTCCCGGGCCTGTCCTCTCTTCCTGGTCTCCCCTGACACTACCATTTGTCCAGCACACTCTTTGCCACTATGCCTATGCCATACTGCAGTGCCTAGAAAGACGCCTCCTTGGATTGCCAGACCCCTTTACCTCCAGCTCCTGATGATCCTTTTGTACTCGACTCCAGGAGGCTTTTCCTAACTCAGTAGGAGTGGATTAGGTGTCTTCCTCCCATTCTTACTTCACTATTTTAATCACTCCTTTTAACTTGCTTTTCTCTTCTCTATCCTATGACAGAAACTGGTCCTTTTAAAACAGCAGCAGCAGCAGCAACAGAAGGTGATGTTTGATAAAAACTCCTAGAAGGGATAAACATGTGCTGACTGGACCCTTGCCCTCCTTGAGCCTGGGCACAAGGCATGCATCTCACAATTGCAAGTTCATGAGGCCATGGGTTAAATAAAAAACCCAATTTCTTGAAGATTTTTCTGAGGAATTTTAGCATAAGCTGTTTATTTTCTACTTTGAACTTCTTTGACCTAAGCAAAGTCTTCTTTTCATAGTGATGGCAGGCTACGATCACATGAATTCATGGATTTATGGCCGTGTTTCAAATCTCAGAATGGCAGCATATGACATTCTGTAAAAAAAAAAAAAAAAAAGCCACAGGTTTTGAGGCTGCAGGAAAAATTTTTAGTTTGGGGAATATGACTGCAAAGAGGAATTTCTTACTGCTGTTAAAATTAATTCAGCCAACATGGAACATGATTACTTGCTAGTCACAGGATTAGGCTGTTACAATCAAAGGTAGATTGTAAGACTGTAGAACTTTTTAAATACTCCAAACTCAACTAGTTTGTACCTAATAAATGCTAAAAGTACGCAGGGGCATAAAAGGACTACACAAACTAATAAGGTCTTTCTTGAAATAGTATCTAGCATACTACCTTCATACATCAACACAGATGCTCCATCTTCCAACAGCTCTGGTTGAAATACCCTCATGCAAACTATTTTCAAGGATTTAACTGATTTTTAACTTTTTTTCTTTGGCTAACTGGTGATGATGCACAAGGCAAGAGAGACTTTTCTACATCTCAGGTCCTTTTCTAATTTTTCTTCAGAACAACAGCATGCTTGCAATGCTAAACCCTCCTTCGACAAAAAGAGGGGCCAAAACTGAATTCTTATCATGGATCCTGCAACCAGTCCTATCCAGAAGATTCAGATGACATTCCCTGGAGTTGGCCAGAACATGTGAGAAGGCACAGCTAGTGAGAATGAGTGGAAGGGTCAAGGCAGTGAAATGAGATCCTATGCAACATCCAACCTTTTCACATTCAGTCTCTTCTCCCACCCAAGAGTTGACTTCCTACTGTATTTAGGATTCAGGCATAATAATATCCATGTCCCACCCACCTTGATTCTCAGTAAATATGTTAACTAGATGAGTACTTTTTTACATTTAAAAACAAAGCCACCAGAAAGATATAAAGTTTATTAGCATCTTATTAACAAAACAAAACAAAAAGATGAAATAGCCAATGAGATAGTCCTTATTTACAAGTTTATTGCAAGGAGCCACATTTTAATCAGCATTTCAATAATCAAAGGATTGTAATTTTTTTCAGAAACATCAATTATTTCACTCTCCAGGTAAAATATTACTAAAAACGTTAAGTGACCACCACAATTAGAAAATGACAAATGAATATTTTAAAAATATATAAAAAAAGGGTAACCGCCACTTAAAACATTAATTTTCACAAAATGATACTTGTGCCTAATTCAGACAATTT